GTAGACGACATTACAATTTGAAGAATTCCTCTGAACGACATATCTGACGATAAATTTCTTCATTTATGAAGACCTTAAAGCAGTTATGAACATGGTTTGATCAACGATATTGTATTTTTTTCGTCACTATAAAGACGGAATTATGAAATCATACCATGATTTTTAAAATCAGAGATATAAATGTCAGATATTAATTTTTTATGATATTTTTTCTGTCAATAATTACATCAAGCAGAAGATACACGTAGCTTTATTTGTATTTATCATCACACATGCGTGACGAATTATGCTTAGTCATGTAATTTCCACTCGATTGAAAAATCTGTTGTCTCGACCTGTTCTCATAAGTCATAATTCTGTCATAGTCATTAATAATGTGATTGTTAGAGGATTGTTAAAGCGTTAGGATCCTGAATATATAAACATATGCGTATTACACGTACATTCGACAAAATAATTTCAAGAGGAAAATTGTATTTTTGAGATTAATTTTCCCTTGCATAATTAGAACCAATTATTATATCAAAATGAGTGTCGTTATTTATTACCACGCAAACTCGCAACCGTATAAACTAATTATCTTTCATCAACTGAATTCGTTAACGATGAAATTGCTTAAATATCATCAAATTGCTGTTATAGTTTGGTCAATGGAAAATATATGGATTAGGTACGTTTTGATTGTTAGACTATCTTGTGTGCGTTTATACAATCCTTCACTATGAGACCTAGACAATTTATATTCCCTTAATAAAACTGACATATTTTATCATCATTTAGTAGTTAATGGAAAATATATGGATTAGGTACGTTTTGATTGTTAGACTATCTTGTGTGCGTTTATACAATTGTCCTTCACTATTTGACCAAGACAATTTATATTACCTTAATAAAACTGACATATTTTATCATCATTTAGTAGTTAGGTTATGTAACGTACTGACTAATACGTTTTTATAGTTCCTTGTATCACGCGTCAAATTATGATTACTTTTTATATTAATACATTCACTTCTAATTTATTGTCTTGTATATTATTTTTTCTAAATTTATAATTGTACCTTACCATCTTTATTAATATTTATAATTATGCTTGATAATATTATACACTTCATTTCTCTTTTTCTTTTTTCACAAAATTCGCAAAAGCATATATAAATCTCCTTCAATGTTATGTAATCATGTAAAAATATCATTTAAGATAAATATTATTATATCAATTCTAAATTATGTGTGTAATGCAATCACCGAGTTAAAAATTTTGATCGACTAAAGATTAACTTATGATGAAATTCATAGCTTATTTTAAAGACATACTATTTTACGTTTGAAATTAAATGGAATTTTGATAAGTGCAGCTGCATGTTATGCAAGCTTCTAATTTGTAGACACGCTTGTAATTCGTATTCATTTTCCTATGATGCTCGCTGTACAAAAACACATGCAATATTGCATGCAATTAGAATTTGGACAGCTATGCGTTGGCCGATGCGTTTCGCCCAACGCGACTGATCGCTGAATAATGTAATTGAAAACTAACGACGCGCGGACCATTCCGTTTAATCGGCTCATATAAATAAATCATATGGACCGTGAATATAGCGCGCCGATATTTCAGAATTGCACACGGGTATATAATTTTAGTCACGTGGTCGTTAACGATTCAATCAAATAGCGATACTTATCGGCTTTCCCCGAGAATTAATTAAACCGTTAAAAATTCATCGCTATCAATCGACTTACAAATGCGTTTGGGAATTTCGTTCACTTGCACATTCTATGAAATGCTCAATAAAATTTCTCTGAAACAGCTGCTGACGTAGTGCCATATTGCTAAATTTACTACCAAAAGCATTGATGTATAATTTAAGGAAATATATTATATATACATATATATATATATATATATATATATATATATATATATATATATTCTTTATATATTTCCAAAACTATAATGCAACTCCTTAGATTACTTTTATAAAAATAAAACGATACGAGTGATATCTTTTACAAACAATAGTATATTTTGTCAAGTAATAGAATATTATTTTTATTTAATATTACTCTCTCTAGAATACTTTCTTTTAACAAGAAATTGCTAAATAAAACTCAATTTTAAATCTTTGCAGGCTAATGAAAAATAATTATCACATAATGACGAAATTTTTTTAGTGTGCCAATGTGTATTTACATATAGGTCCACATATATCATACATGTTTGACTAGTACATTAGACAAAATTATACAACCGAAGATAGAGACTAATCATGCTATGACTCGCACGGATGACGTAACACATCTTTCTGTATGTTTATTCTGTGATTACGATCGTGTGTATTAACTTCCTGAACCGAGAAAAATAACGAATAAATTGTATATCAGAAAACGAAGTATCATTTCTTATGTAAAAATTCTTGAGCTTGTGTGAAGATATCATGAATAGGCAAATTGCTTATTTATCATTTGCGTGTAGATAATTAATTGAGTCGAACAATTTTTTTCTTTTTATCCATTCTTTTCTTTTTATCTATCACGTGTTATAAATTATAAGACAATATAGACAAATTGAAAGTATTCATAAACATACTTGTGATAAGTAATCTTATCACTAAAATGTACTCTTTAAATTATTATCGTTCTCACAATTATGTAATACATTAATTGCCAATATAAAAAATTATATAAACCCATCTAAAGAATATTTTAACTTATATGTGATAATGAAAAGTAATTTTCATACTTTGAAAGTATATAATTTACTTTCACTATATTATATTCCAAGTTTACATAAAATGTTCTTTCATAACATGCGTGGTTCGTATACTGAAAATCACCGGAAATTCTTACGACAGATGGCAAATAATAGTTTAATGATTTTTTTATATCCCGATGTTTCAACATACCATAATATTTTTTGCTGAATTACATAAACTATCATAAAATTCAATGAATCAAAATTAGTATATATATA